AATTTCTAGATTACTTGATTTTTCTCCTTCTTGAAACAACACTTATGCTTACTATATGCAATAAGCTCTAATATTTTATTTGATTTTGGAAGCTTTCGTGGGAGCTCCTAATCCTGGGCTCTGGATCGACTCTAAGCTATGCCTTGATGTGGCTTCTTTTTCTCTCATTGCAGTGTCCCCCCTGTGGACTTTTCAACATGGAGCCTGGTGTCCTTCATTTTGGAAAAATCTTTCTCAGATTCTTTCCTTTTCCTTCCCTCTGCTTCCTGTCTTCCTTCCTTCCTTCCTTCCTTTCTTCTTCCCTCCCTCTTTCCTCCCTCCCTCCCTCTTTCTTTCTTTCTTTCTTTCCTTCTTTCTTTCTTCCATTTGTTTTTTATTATCTTCTCTCTGGGATCTTCTTAGTCAGATGTGGGATTTTCAGGGCTTATTCTCTATGTCTCTCCTTACTATTTCTTTATTTTCCAACACTTTATCCTTTTGTTCTGCTTTATATTGCATCTCCTTGACTTTGTCTTCCATCCATTTTTAAAATTTAGCTATCATTTTTTATTTTCACATGCTCATTACAGTATCTAGTTCTTGTTTTATGGATGAGATACCTTCTCATAGCTCTCTGAGAATATTTATTAGAATTGGCTTCGTAGTTATTTTTGAAGTTTTCTTTTCTTCCCTGTATTATCTATGTTTCTTCCAGATTCCTTTTTTCAGTTTTTCTTTTTATTTTGGTTTCTATCTTTCAAAATAAAAACTTTCTTCAGTTGTTCTGTGGGGAAAAAATATACTGCTAAATATACTGTTGCTAAAATATACTGTTAAATGACATGAACACAGTGATGGAATGTTACTAGCAGCTTCAATTCTACATATTCTCCAAAATCTCCTTATAATAAATCTGCTGAGTTCACTGCCCTGCTGGATTGCTTTCTCTGATCTTCCATTTTGGGAGAACTGGATAATCTGACAAGAGATAGCCTACTTACTCGTGAAGTCTCCTAGATTATTGGTTTTATTTTGACAAGTGCAGGTTTACTTCTCTCTGCTCTGCTGATTGTGCCTATCAGATGCAAAGCAGGTTCACACTTCTTTCTTCTCCATTTCCTGCCATGAAGTTTATTTAAGGGAAGAGAAAATATATCTCAGAGAAAATATATCTCTTTCAGCCCTACCTCCCTTCTGAAGCTGGATCCTCAGAGAGATTTACCCTACAATCCCAGGGTCCTGCTCCTGTCCTCAGACTCTCTTCTAGTAAAGTTGACTAGACTCTCTTCTAGTAAAATTGTCTTCTTATTTCAACGTGGAGAGGTTGTGTGATGTCAGAAAGTCCTCCATTTCATTTAGGTTAAGTTTTTTTATACAGGTGTATATAGTAATCTCTGATAATCTTATGTATTTCTTTGGGGTCTGTTGTGATTTG